ATAGTCTTCACTTTGGGATTGTTCCTATGCAGTTTCAAATATGTGCCAATGAGAGATTTTTCAAGTTCTGGAACCAGCACTTGGCAAAAATACAATTCAGGAGGAAATGGGGCTGATGTGTGTACATCCAGTGTAGTCCCAGTAAATTTTCCAACAAGAACATACTTGTCAGTCTCTTAATCATAACCACAAGACCTGTTTGCCCATGAAGTTTGCTTGTTAAGTTGGTTCAAGTCTCCAGTGAGTATGTGTTGAGGCAACAAAAGATTCACTCACTACCCAGGTTTCCACACCTGAAAATCCCCAAACTAGCCAGCCATTGTAAATATGTACTGTCCTTGTCTTTTCAATTGCTTCTGAGCCCCTTATGGAAAATATGAAGAAATTTTTTGATTGGTGATCTGAACAAGAGTTTCTTTACAATCTTGGATGTTCATAAGTAAAAGATCAGTTTAATGAGTTCAAAGGAAACTAGTATGACAGCAAGTATGAAAGGCACCATCCTAGCAATGCAAATTCAATTCTGGTTGGCCATCCCTCACGGATGCCTAGTGGTGTCACATTCAGCTCAGTTTCATGGAGATCAAAAAAATCTGTGGTCTGTGGACAATACAGGAACATACCAATCAGCATCAATCCTGATGATTGAAAACCAGTGAAGACTCACAGGTCATAGCATCTTGGTAGCTGGCTCTTGCACAAGTCTGGAAATGCAAATAGAGTGTCTTTCAGCCACAGAAGTCATTTTGATGGGTGTGAGGGAAGGAAGTTGTCACAGAATGGCCATAAGTTATTTTCATTGTTGCCATCTGACCAAAATGGTGTCAGTGAGTCCAGCTCCAATTCTTCCTCTTGTTAAGGTTGAATGCTGACATCAGAAGTAGTGAATTGGTACCCAATACTTCTGAGCTTTAAGGTTAGACCAAGAATGTTGGCATAGGAGCTTTGAGGTTTTGTTTTGCAAGTGGATATCAGCCGGCACAATCTCCTGCACCTTACAAATGCCACATATGAAGGTTCTCTTTGCTTGACATATATGTTGAAAAACTTGATGAGACACATCAGTGGTTTGAAAGGTTTAAGGTTGACAAATTGGGGGCTGAGAAATTGGGTGATATAAAGAATTTGAAGGAATTGGTTTGTTAGTTGACTGATAAGTGAGCACAGAAAGTGAGACAAAATGATAGAGAGATGGAACAGTGCAATGAGCAAGTATGGAATGGAATTGTTGTGATCAATTGCAATGCATACCTGAGAAGTGAGCTATATCAGTATGAGCAAGGCAACAACTGAGACAAAATGATAGAAAGATGGAACAGAGGGACAAGCGAGTATGGAATGGAGTTGGTGAAGAAGAGGAGACAAAAGTATGCATAGAAGTACAGTATATATATGAGTGGTCTACAGTATCTGATGTAAGTGTCCTGAACGCTCTTCCCAGTGTGGTGATCAGTTTATAGGATCAATTAAAAAAATAGTTATAGTATTTTACCAAAGTTATTAGAAAAGTTCAGCAGAAAAGAAAACTCAAAATTGGAGGACCCTGATCAATAGAAGATCTTTTAGGCTTATGTATTACACAATACATCATGATTAGGTGATCTTATCTCAAACAAATTATTGATATCAACATCAATTATCAACAAATGAATTACAAAAAGAAAAGAAAGAAAAACATAAGAAAAATCCAAAAATATAGGTGCTTGGAAATAGTTTTTAGGGTATCAATATTAGGTTTATGGGTTTTGTGAGGGTAGAATATGAAAGGACAGCATTATATTATACAGTAACAATTTTAATCTTGATGGTTGATAAGGAGGAATAGAACTTATCAAGAATTACCTACTTTTTCAAAGTTGGTAAAGAAGGGGTTTATGGGTAGTTTACATATGTAATGGTGGTATGAGTAATATTTAATGTTTCCAAGAGGATTTTACCAAATTTTCACAGCTCTAGATGAAGATGTAACATAACAGGAGCAAGAGAGTAGGAGCAATAGCTGTGTAAAGGGGTGAAAAGGTGTGAATTTCATCAAAAATGGAGGTTTTCAGCTTATTACATATGTCAGATGACATTGGAACTGGATGGTAGATGGTTCATTCAATACAGAAGTATTGATTACATAATGTACAGCCTTGAGATCATTAGTAACAGAGGTTTTTGAAGAAAGTTATGAGAGAAATAAGAAATTGGTGTGAACTTTGAATTTTACACTTACATGCATACATGTAACAACATTTACATACCAAAACCTTAACTATGAGACTCAATAACTCTCCATTATTCATCAGGAGTACCTGATATGGCACCAATTATTGATCAGTATGACAATATCTACAAGATGCACTTTAGTAATAAAAAATTGGACATCATTTGACAAAGCCCATATCTTCAAAAATAGGTTTTCAGCCAAGTTTACAAGGAAAAAATCACCTGTATTCATCATAAGAAGTGCTGTGTAACATTCAATTACATCATTCATCACTTTGGCTGTGTAAATCACATCACCTATTTGTAAAAAAGTCATTACATTGTGTCATCATATGGGTTTTAGGGTTTTTTGGTCAAAATTGGTTGGTTTGTGAGGCTGTTGACCATTGTAAGAGTTGTAACACATTTATATATATACTCAAGGATGACTTTGGGATTGTTGTTCCCCTTTTTTCTTTATCATCTACACAGTTATCATCTTGTTTATCATTATAAACTTATTTTAGCAGTACCTGATCACTTGAATATGCCCTTTATTACAATATAAAGAGAAATTTACTTTAGTGTCATGGTCAAAAAGACTTATTGTGAATAATATCAAAAAGATATTGCTTCATTTTCTTAGTTATCATATTGGAATAAAACTATAGCAGTGTTGAGAGAAATTAAATTGTGCTTTTTGAGTTAAAATCTGTGTACTTTTGGTCCTTTAAAGATACTTTTCTCTGGTGCCTTATCAGTACTCAATTCAACAGAGTTCCCCTTTCTGATTGTCTTGTTCTAGGGGCAACGCCGAGATAGCAGCGCAACACAGCGCAAAATGGTCATTTGCGTGCTGCGTAGCTCTAACAGTTATCGGGAATTAGCCCGGATGGCTAACGTGCCTAGTGGAGTTACGCTATCACAGATAGCGTAACTTATGGAATTTTTAGGCGCTATCTCAATGTTGGAGCGCTGCGATTAGCGCTACGTTATGTCAAATTTTGTGCGCTATCACAATTTTTTTACCAAGAAAAACTATAAAGAAAAAGAAAGAACAATATTGTAAAGCAACATCAAAGTAAAGTAGAAACCTTATAAGAAATCTTGTACCCTGATAGAGTCTGAAACTTGGCTGGATTCATTGCCCAATGGTACCATCTCCACCAACCACATATGAGCCAAGACTGATCGTTCAATAGTAATAGGTGCCAGACCTCCTCGGCTTGCTGAACATACATCAGCAGCTGCCGAGAATGTCCTTTCTGGCGCTGCTGAAGAACCCAAACATGCCAAATAATCCTGAGCCATCAGTGCAAGGATTGGGAACCTGTTAGAATTCACCTGAGATGAGAAACAAAAAGAATGATCAGCATAACATCACTTTCAAAGACCTTTGGTTCACTCACCAACCACCAACACAGAGCTTCATCGGGATTGCTCTGTTCATACTCCGGTTCTTTCATGCAAACAGACCCTCGGAAGAAATCTTTAACCTGAGAGTCATCTCCCAGGTCTTCAGCATCTTCCTCGTTGTCACTGTACAAGTCAAACATTGCTGAACTAGAAGGGACATGTGAGTTATCTTTGGAGCTGACAGTATGAGAAGATGTCTTCTTTTGCGTTGATCTGAGCTGGTAGTCTTTGAAGATGGTATTGAAAGTGGATTCTGCAGTAATATAGATTGTTGAAGTCTTTTCGAAGAAACGCTCGAAAAACCTGATTCGAAAAGCCGGATGGAGAAGGGTGGCGACTACAAGCGTTTCGCAGGCAAGTGCCTCATCCAGGTAGAGTCCGACCTTTACAAGCATGGCCGCCAACATGGGGTAAAGCGCATTGGTACGTGAGAGTTTCTGCTCTCGAGCTTGCAGGTTGGCTTTCAATTTGATGTACTGAGTTATGACCAGCGCACCTGTAGGCGCATTTCCTTCCATCTGCTTCGTGATGGACAAAAATGGCTGCAAAAAATCAAATCAAGTAGAATCAGTATCGTAAGTATAAATTTCTTTATAAAAGCACTTTATACTTACCTCAAGCTCATTGTTTAGTTCCTGGATTGACGCCCAATCGGAAGGACTGATAGTGATCTCATGGAAGTAGCCATAAGCCTTACCACTTTTGCGGGGTCGACGTGACTTTGAGTGAACACATTCGAGATCTTCTTTTAAGAGCTGGTCAATGACCTGTTGTTTCAGATCAAGAGGCGAACAGTTCAATTGATAATCACATCATGAGGAAGAAAGTAGATTAGCAACTTACTTCGCGTGCAACCCAAGCCTTGTGCTGTGATATATATTTAATGTTCCATCTAATCCCGTATCCTGCGATCAAGGAACCGAGCGAAAGACCACGGGCCTGCATCACACGTTGGAATTCGTGGCGCCACGAAGACAACCTTGTGATCCGTCGTATCACAAAGTCAAGCTGAGAATATGAAGTGGTCAGTAATGGATACATGAAAGAGACATTCGAAAGACATACCTTTTCAAGAATGAAATTGAGTTTGTTTGCTTCCCTTCGGTGGGTGGGTGCAACGGTATTGTTCACAACCAGGAGGGCTGATGCCTCGTCCGCGGCATCAGCCGCATCCCAATCTTGCTCGTCATTGTGGTCTTGAGGACCCAAAGTTGATTCCAATCGATCCATTAAATTGCCTTGTTCATCATGATGTTCTTCATCAGCTAATTCTTGCAAGTCGTGTTCAGCATCGGAACCAGCATCTTCCGTAAGTTCTGGCGTAGTAGAGACATCGGGAACTTCCAATACCGGTCCATCGCCAGCTCGAGGGTCCTCAGGTGGCTCTTCATCTTCAGCTAGAGAGGTACAAACGGCTGGAAATCGTCCTCAAAAGGCAGTCTTTGCCTTTCGCGGTGGAGCTGTCTTGAGACCGAGAGCCGCAAGGCCTGCCCCAACTATCAAGGCCAGCTTGTGGGAGAAACAGAACGCATGCATCTTCTCAGGATTCCAGCGGTAGTCAGATTCGGGTCTGCATTGACTGGTGAATTGGTGATGCAGTTCCATTGCCATCGTTTTGTTATTTGACCCCGAGTCGGTTGTCTGGCTGAGCAGGTAAGACAAACAAATAAGTTACAAATAGAATAAGTATCATGAAGACATCAAGATTAAGTGAAAGAAACCAAAAAAGAAAAAGCAAACGTACTTATCTTATCAACAAGTTGATGTTTGATCAACACGTTGGCTAAAGGTTCCGCTAGCCAAACGCCTCAGTGCTCCCATGCAACCACCTTAAGTGTAAGGTGACGAGATACGTACTTCCACAATGAATTGATATAAGTTACATTTGCACATATAAAGCCGTGTCGGTTTCCTTTTGAGGTCCACACATCGTGTTGCATTGAGAATTTCGAAGTCAAGCCCTGGTCAACACAAGCTCCAATCTTTAGTAACAATTTGTAACGAAGTTGAATTAAAATAAAATTGAGAAAAGAAATAATCACCTTCAGTTCTTTAATGACTTGTTCCTTCATGGACAAGTTTAAGCGTTTAGCCTTGATGGCTGCCCAGTGCCTCCCAGACAGTTTAGCTTCAGGTCAAATGTAGTTGATACACGCGCGAAGCCATGAGTCTGCTAGTCGAGACCATGGCAGCGCTTGTCGAACCAGCCATACGCACATACCCTGATTGAAAGTGAGGTTATTGAATTTCGATCCCTTGGTCTTGGTGATGAAAGAGTCAAGAGGACCACTCTTCTTCTTGCGTTCAGCTTCGTCTCGAGCATATCGTTCGGCAACCAAAAGTGGAATGTCATGTCCTTGGGCTTTAGCTGTGAGACGTCCTGGACAGCCAATGGTTGATCGACCGTCTTGAGTCGAACCGTCTTGATGGGCTTTAAGATTGCCTGTCGGATTGCTGTGACTAACTCTAACGGGGTTATTCTTGTCTCGACTGCACCATAGACAAGGATATCCAAGGGGTCTTTTCGATTTATCCTACATTACGAAAATAAATCAAAGATGTGGTTTTTCAGTGTGGGAAGGAAATGATGAGGATGAGGAACCCAGCTTACATCATTGGACTTGCTGTGAAAAGGGGTTTCAAAGCAAGCTAAAAGCAAATCCATCTTCACTATTTCATCTACATCGATGGGTTTTCTTTGCCGAACTCAATTGTTTTCTTCATCAGAATCTGCTCAGAGAATCTCTTTGGTGACCTGGATAGACGAGATCTTTACATTTGGTGTCAGTCAGCTAAAGTTCAGAATGGTAAAGAGTGAGATTAAAAGGTAAAAAGTAGGTATAAAGAAAAACTCACTTCATTGTCCCCCGTGGGAGTTTTCTGGGTCTTTCCTTGAACCCGCTTCCTTTTTTTCTTAACTGGTTTGACCACTTGAGGTTCATCATCTGAAGATTCTTCATCTTGAATGGTTTGACTCTCGATTGTTTTGTTCTTAGGTCTGCTACTGGAGGTCTGGCTAAGTGAAGTACTGTGGTCAATGGAAGCTCGTCGACGACCGTCAGGGCAAGGTGAAATCATTCCGGGATTGATAACTGGTTGACGTATTCGTTGAGGCCGACTACTAGTAGGTGTTCCTGGGTGTGAACTTGAAGGCATGACCGATAACTGGAAGAAGATGTAATTGAACATCTGTACGAAGATGCCAAAGAAGGGACGACGTGAAGCATTGATCATGATCGATTGAGGTATCAAAAGTAAAGTGAAGAAACGAAATGTGAAGGATGGAGGAAAGGATAGAGGAAGGAAACAATGAATGAAATTATCAGAGGGAGGAAATCAAAGTATCTTCAGTAGATGTTCGATGGGAAGGGATGGGATTGAAGGGATGGGGTGATGATCTCACCTTTGAGCTATCCTTCTTACACTGGGGTCGAGGGTGGTTGACGGTGGTGATTAGTCCCAAATCTTCGGTGATTGGGTCTAAAAGTAGAAAGGGTAGCCCCTGCGTTCCCACACGCGCAACATAGCTATGGTAACGGGGTGCGGGGCCGGTGCGTAACTGGTAAAAAAAACCCCGTTATCCCAGATTGATAACATAACTCGGGTATAGAAGGATCCGTTACCAGGGTCCGAGAGCGTAACTGCCCCAAGTGCCGCAGAGCTATCAGATAGCTCTGCGCTTAGAGTTACGCTAGCGCTATCCCGAGCGCTGCTATCTTGGCGTTGCTAGGGGGGCAGTTCATAGACTTCTTCTACTAGTCATTTATTGGTAGATTATCCCCTTCACGCTCTGTATAACCCTTGTTTGATTATAAGCTCTACACCAGCCAGCCTTGCTGGTTTAGGTCCTGTCCTGAATGACCAACTGATACAATCAAGATGGTGGTTGAACTGTTCAAGATGGTTGGTTGATGAAGCTGCCTGGCCAGGCTAGTAGTGAGTGCCTTGAAATTGAACAACAAGGATATTCCATTTGTTTGAGAGTTGGATAAGTTCTTGTGAGATACTTCAGTTGGTTGCAAAAGGGAGTGTTGTGAATGTTTTGACTGTGAAGCTTTCTAACATTTTGAAGGCTTCAGCGCTTTTGAACCCTGAGTGTTTGATAAGGTTGAGCCATTTGAGAAATATTAGCTGAGACAGAAGCCCAAGCTCCTTTTGCTTCTTGCTTCCTTCCATCCCTCTGCTTCTTTAGCTTGTTACTGTTGGAATACTCACATCAAAATCATGTGATTATTGATTTATTCCTTAGCTTACTCATCATTGATAAGCTTTTGATCTAATTCCCAACATGTTCACATCTAGTAAATGTTCATCTGCCTCAGATCATGTGATCCTTTCTCTTTCTTTTTTATCTACCTGTTACATAAAACTTATGTATCAAAGATTGTTCATATACTGCCTGGAGTCACACTAGGAAAGGGCCTCTCTTCACCATTTCTGTAATTCACTTGTGTGATTTAGTCCATTGCAACAGTTCCTCCTCAAACTCAGACCTCCAACAACCTTCTTTTAGTGAGCATCCTGGTTGTTTCTGTCAATTGTTTTGTGAGTGACGACAATCATTGCTCTTCACTATGGTGTTTTTGATAGAAATTAGTGAATATTTCCCAGTCTCAAGCTTGGAAAGTTCTTCATAAACAATTCAGAGAGAATTATCTGGAGCTCAATCAGTTTATGTAACATGCATCTCACAGATTTAACAGGGTCTTTGTGGCACCCTGGAGGAGGTACCAGGGATGAATGCCATTGATGGTGGACAAGTTTGGGTGATAAATATCTGTTGCAAGGATCCTCAAATGCACAAGCCAGTTCATGAGAATGAGGCAAACCCCAGGCACCACAAAAAGAATTTGTGCACTTCCTTTTTAAAGAGTCTGAAATATTATTGTAATGTCTTTTGATTTTCTTGAGCACAAAATGTGAAATGACCCAGCAAAGTTCTTGAAGGGAATCCGGTAGCTAAGCAGTGTATTTTGGCGCTCAAAGCCAGTGAAATAGTGATCTCTTAGTATTGTGAGTCACCTGCAAGCTTGAAGGCTTTGAAACAGGTAACAAAGTTGTTGTTACTATGATCCAAGCTACACCAAGCCGCTCCACTTCACTCCACTTTATTCCTCAAATTTGGTAGTGTAGTGCACAAACACTATAATTTTAAGTGCTCCGCTCCGCTATATACTGGTTTTTTTGCCAACTGAAAGCGGAGTGACTTGGCACTATCTTGCACTTTGATATAGTGCCTGGATTGCTATATAGCACTACACATGGGGAGACTGCACATAAACTTGCAAATCTATCAAGAAGAAGAAAAAAACTAAAACTAAAAACAGAAATTAAAGACTGCACTTAGCACTACTACACAGTATAATTGCCAATAAAAGGATGAAATAGAAAAGACAAAAAAAGTAAAGGTAAAATTAAAATATGAATAAAAATAAAAATATAACTCAAGAGTAAAACTTTAAAGTCAAAACTAAGAAAATAGTGCTATTTAGCCCTGCATATCTCTACATAGCCCTACATAGTGCTATAATATATATAGCACTATGCAGTGCAATGTAGCGCTATTACAGCGATTACAGCTATTGCTCCAATATATGGGAGTTTTGGCTCAACATAAGCTCCAAGGCTCATCGGGATAGCAGAGCACTTGAAAAGAGCAACAAATTTGACCAAGCAGGAGATCCATGTTTCTTCTGAATACTTCAAGATGCTGTTACATTGAGCTATGGTGGTAACACCTTTGAGAATTTTTTTGTATTGTTGGGTTATGGTGCTTTGACTATATTATTTCCATATTTTCAAGAACTTGGTCCATTCAGGGCCCTTGAACTTCTTGTTACAATTCTTGCCAATGTTGTAATTTATGTGCCATATGCACAGCAGATGGGTTGCACTAGGGAAGAATTGAACAGTAATTATTAACTCAACTAAACTCTAATAATAACTTAGAGTTAGTAACAATAATAAGAATAATGGTTCTCTTTGTTGTGCAAAGCTGGTTCTGCATCATTGCAGAACATCTTGCACAGTTTGATGTTGATGTTTTTAGAGTTTCTGTCAAGCACTACTGATTTAAGTTGCTCCAATGCCCAAACATATCTCTCCTCCACCTCTCTGTACATGAAGCAAAAATGTGTAGTAAATGTTTTGTGGAAGTTGGTGCTTCCAACAATGTGAAGAAGTGGGAGACCGAATCTGTTGGTTTTGTAAGTACAATCAAGTCCTATCACAGTTGGAAACAAAAAAGTAAGTCCAATTCCTTTGGGGCTAGCCATGAAAAGTAATTGAAGGGTACCATTATTTGAGGTTGTGGTGCAAAAATCCCACTTGTGTTTGTTGATTAGGTCAAATGATCCTTGGATTGGGGTTCTGCCACATAAACAAGCATCTCTTGGTCAAAAGAACGTGTTGTGTATGTCTCAAACAAGTGGTTCTGAACCTGGTGCAAAATCAATGAGGCCTGTCATCTGTGCAGGGCAGTATCCAGCTGACAACAGTAGGTTCATCTTTGTAAGGGTGGAAGTATAGTACATCTGTATGGATTCGTCTTGGAACATTATGGGTTTAGTCATGGGATTCTTTTCATTGTTTCTCTTTTGATTACACTGGTTCTGACTCTTCTAGTGATGGATTAGGTATGGGTGGTTCTTTTCAATCTCTATTCTTTCTATTCTTTCCCTTTTGATTATGCTGGTTCTGACTCTTCAAGTGCTAGATTATATATAGATACAAAGGGGTTAGATAAACCTCTGCTCTTCGTGAGCTCACGCAAAATCTAGGAGCAGTGCAGGCGGAGATTACACTCCACCTTACAATCTTGTGTGAGGCCTCATCAGAAAACTGTTGGTTTTTTGAAAGATTATGTATGAGGTTGATCAATTCAAAGGGTATGTGGCTGTGATGGTAATTTGAAAAGTTCTTCAAATCTTGCTGTGCAATCCACCCATCCTTACACGAGTGGTAGTTCAGGGAGATCTTGAATGGGCATTTTGACATCTTAGTCAAAATTTTGCCTAGAGTAGCCACAGAATCCACCTCACGGACAAGGGAGAACAAGATCACACTTTTTGATATTTCTAGGTCTTGTGACCCGCTGTCCAATTTAAAGATGTTCTGAAACATAAATCTATATTTTATGTATCTCTGGCTCAACTGGTGCTGGAGATTTGCAAGTTGGCATTTATTTTAGTGCCTCAAGGTATCGATCGGTTTGACAGGCTTCTTACGTCAATTAAACGCTCTTCCAGAATTTCACTCTTACCTACCCATCTTCTTGTGAATGAAACAAGATTGTCTAGGAAGTGTTTGATTTCAATAGTTTCTTTTAAATGCATATTATATCAATCTATGATAATCACAAAAAAATCATAAAAAATTACCGAGCATCTTTCATAAAAAATCACAAAAGTCAATAATAATTTAAAGAGTATATATTTGAAACTTTAAGGAAGATTAATGCTATTAATGTTCAAATTTATATAATACATATTTTTTTTATGCCAAATCTGCAAATGAAACGGTATAATTCCTTTGATCGTAGGCTGTGAATGAAGAGATGTCATCTCGTTAAGTCAAGTAGTGATTTTTTTGAAGCGTAGGGGGAGTTTCAAAGAAAGTAACATGAAGCTCAAGTTGGCTTACCGGTATAAACGTTCTTCAAAAATCTGCATTTTCATGGAGGCGTGAAATTTGTTTTAGTGTAAGTGCAAACCAGTAGATGTAAAAAACTACACTTACACTTGTCCCACCAACCAAACTCCCTGCCTGTCCGTTCCAACAATACCGCCAACACAATTTCCCTGTCTGTCTCTGCCCTGAAGGTGTAATTGTTAAGTTAGTTAAAGTATTGAAGTGTAGAAAGATGAGGGATATTCACGATTGACACTGTTGTTCGAAGGACAAATAATTAAGTAACGAACCACATGATGTATTGTGACGTTCGAAAAAAATGTACTCACTATCCTGAGGGTTTATGTTGAAGGCTCGTCCACCAAAGTTCATGCTGAGCATGGGATTTGCAGCGCAAGGGAAACTGTATTGACCGCCTGATTTTGCGGTTGAGCCAGGGATAGAAGCGTAAATCCTGATGAGACATGGAGTCAGTCACAATGAACGGTGAGATTATAAGAATATTATATTTACGTTCGGGCGTCTGCTTGAGGAACTGCGATGATACTGGTGCCTAGTGTTTGGATAATGGTCAAGAAGTGCTTCATTGCAAAATATAACCCAAATATTGCTTACCGGTGTCGATTGTAGCAATTGTGGAAGTTCTGTAAAATGACATTATCATTAGACCCATTCCAATATGGATGAAAAATAAGCACGGTCACTCACAGCTGTAAAGGTCGTCCATTGAGAGTTGCACCCTCGAACTCTACATCCCAAAATCCTGCTTGTTGGCCAGTCATTGCCAATACGTTTAGCGTAGTGAAACTGGCGTTGAAAAACTCGGTCAGTTGAGTTGCACTGCTTCAGGAAGATAGGGCAGTGCGAAACTTACGGGCCCCTGAATGAGAGTGGATTCACTCCTCCGATGGTCAACTCTGAGCCTGATACACTTCGACCGACAAACTTGGTGCCGATGACACCCATTTGGGGATCTGCCTTGGTAAGTGTTGTGAAGAATGGATCAGTCTTGCTCTGTGAGAGACTTGGGAATCCGAATCCCATCAGACTACCAGAACAGAAATGTTAAAAATGCAAAATTCCAAAAAGGCAAGCTTTGTTGATAAAATCTTACCCATCAGAAGTGTCGCCTGTGGAGCTTTGAAACTGTGGGCTGAGTTGAGTAACGGCCCCAAAACCTGTAAGTCATGAGATAGAGATAAATGGTTAGTTGTGATCAGGTGAAGCGACAAAACTAAACTGACCCATGTTTGGAAGTGTCTGTCCAGCTACAGATACAGTATCACGCACTACAATGGCCTTCACTGAGCTCCCATCTCCAAATCCGATGGAAAAGTTTCTGGCTGTGGGGATAGCGGTAACTGACTTGAAAGACCACGCGGCAAGATAAGCTCATTGTTGAGACGATGTATGTGATGGAGAGACACGACTCACTTCAGAGGCCAAATATAAGTTTTTGCCTGCACATTGTGCTTGGGGACCTGATGATCAAATGATGTCGGTATAAGCTGCAATGGACAATTTTGAGTTGCGGTGACAACACTTACATCTATCAGATGCTACGAATAAGTCCGAGGAACCCCTACAAAAAGTTTAAAGCATGAGAGGGACGCTGAAGATATTGTTAGACAATTTGAAACTTCGACTCACGTATCGATGGAGACAAAAAACGTCTTTGGTGGAGTCCCAATTTGGATTGGTGCAGCCCTGAAAATGTGGTCAATAGAAGATCAGTTGGATATGATGGACAGCAATTATACGATAGACTTACCATATGAGGTCCTTTCCAGCTCTTCAAGGTGATTGCATGATCAAAAGTTTGTATAGGAAGTCAATGTTCTGCTTTTGTTTCAACATAGATAATATAAACTAACAAGTTGTTCATGGGGACAGCACCACCTCTAGCTGACGCTCTGGAAAGTGGCGAGATTGCGCCGGACTGGACGCGAGATATTGACGGGTTTTCAGCACTTCCAATAGCTTGCGAGACTCTGACAGCGGCGCCAGTTCCGTCTGTGGGGGGAGTATCATCGACAAGAGGCAGAGCTCCAGTATTATATACGTCTTCTAGCTGATAAGGCGTCATGTTGAATGTGGCCAACCTACATAGAAATGCATTGAGTTTTATGCGTTTCAATCGTGTTAAAAAGTTAACAAATAGTTTGGCTTACACATTTCCCGTGTTCATATAATAATTCATGGCCCCTTCAATTTGTTTCCGTAAACTGGGGGTAAAGTTGATTGTGAGATAGGAATGTCTTGAATAGAGGGTTAAGCGCTCAACTCACACATAGCGGATGTGATTGTCAAACTTATCCTGATCCAAAACTCCATCCTCGTCCACCAATGATCCTCTCCTGGAAAGTTGATATAGAGTCGCTCCAGAAGGTAGTCTCCGTGTTAAACTTGATGGACCATCATCAACTGGAACCGCAAAATTAGACCCGAAAGAAATGAAAGAAATGAGCAAAACAAAGAAATGAATGGCCGGCATTCTCGTAAATTGAAAGGTAGTCTGGAAGATTTTCAAAATTATCGCAGCCTGAAAGGATCCCGAATCCAAAGAGAAATGAACCGAAAGTGAAATAAATAACAAATCGAACAGAAAACCGCAAAAGATAAATTAAGATTAGAAGATAGAAATTCGAAAGTCGCAAGTCCAGTGCGATGTGATTATGATCGAGGAGATAAGCCACCGGATGGGTTGAACTTGGAATATCTTCAAGAACAATAATGATTCCGGAAAGGACATAACTTCCTCTTGAGCTCGAATGAAGTCATGACGGGACTGAGGCGGTTTGAATATTTCGACTGGGGTAGCGTTCAGCTCGGCACTCTATGCTTTCATTACCCCCAGGCCATTGCATTTGAGTTGAATAGCTGCTCAGCGTGGTATTCATCAAAGTCGTACAACAACACTGAAGTTATAAACCAAAGTGCCTATCCCAGGCCGATGGGCCTCTACGGCTCTGTCGCCGCTCGTATTCCTTTCAACTTAAACTCGACTTAATAAACTTGGTCGCTCGTAATCAAAGAAGGGAGCTAAAATAATGTGAAAACCGAACTGATTACTCGGTTTTGGTGAACCAGCGTTGAACGAGTTCAAGGGCGACCGAGTTCAAATTCGGCCTTGATCACAACCAGTGATATGTACCTAGAGATACCTAGAGATTAATGGTCCAACTAAAGGAGACTAATGGTCATTGCGTTTGACCAAAGTCCCGAGTAGATTTGTTTTCAAGCTAATGTAGTTTTCATTTTTCACAGATGTTAGTCCTTTGAGGTTCTCCTGATTATAAAAAAGAATTGAGTAGACGACTCCGTGACAAAGGGCCATATAAGCATAGAAGATGTGGCGATAAGACTTCAACAGACAAATTTCCTTACATAATTCACCAGAACACAATTTTTATATGCTCGCTCTCAGAGTCTTCTCTAAACTGGCAAATCTGCAGCGGACAACTGCCGCAAATTTTGGTTCTCCAGTGATACATTCAAACGAACTCTGAGAATCAAATATCACAAATGATTGTACGTCTCTCACAAGAAATGGATAAGCACAAGTTGGAAGGATACAAAGTTCACACTTAATCCATGATCACTTATGAAACTCAACATTTAGTTGAGACAATAAAATGAAAACATACATTCATAAGGGATTTAAGAAGACGAATAACAAATTACATCTTGCAATGAGACAAAAAAGTAATAGGTGAGATGGCATGAACAAAAAGAGCTAGAAGATCACATTCAATTCTCTCTAACTTCATCAGCCTCTAATCCTGGCATATGGGGATACTCATGTGTTTTTGTATCTTTTGAAACTATATCTTGAAAAACAGAAGATTCAGCAAGAATTGATGCTGGTAAATTGTCTATTGGATCAGGTGGAGGTGGTGCTGGAGAAGGTTGTGAGGTTTCATTTGACCAGGGAGATGGATCAAGTGTCTCTTCGTTGGTGGGTGCAGCAGGCTGATCATTTGAAGTTGATGTGATTTGTGTTGATGGATCTAAAGCTGTTGTTTCCGGTGCCGATGTCTCAGCCACTTTGTTTGTATTTGCCAACTCCGGGTCTTGAACAGGTTTGGTAGGTGGTGCAGCTGCCTCGGCGTTTTGTTTAGTCAGAGATTGTAATAAACGATAGTACTCCTGCCAAACATGAACAATCTGGTAACATACCATGAACCATGAAGTGAGAAAGATTATCGTCAAGTTTAATGCGAACTAAAAGATGTATCTAACCTGTTTTTGTCTTTCAGTTATCCCGTCAACATAGGCGCAAATCGCACTCTTGAAATCTTCAACTTTCTCTGTATCAAATCGTTGCATTTCTGCTTTGATTAACTTGGAAACATCGCCAAACTCATTACGTACATCCTGTGCTTTCCGTTCAGCCTGAAAATGAAGAAATGTAAAAAATGAATAAGTCGAAGAGTTGCTACACTTTTATTTGGGTGTCTACTCATAAGTCTCATCAATGGCGCACCTCGAGTAATTCTGCCAAGGAATGTTTGAGCCCAGTTGATTGTTCGTTGGCTGCATATCGCTTAGCTTTATCATGATTCATCTGTACTTTTTTCAAATTACTAAGACTAGCTTGCCATTTCTCCCAACTTTTGACTCGACTACTAAATGTTAATCGTACACTGTTCATCAATCGACTATAAGCCTCCACAGTTGCGGTGATGCCTTCCAGCTCCTGTTTACTCTGCTCTTCTGACCAAACATAACATTGTCGATGTAGACCTGCTAATCTATCCAACGCATTTCGAATCGGCTTGGATAAATCACAAGTCGATAATGTCAACAATGCTTGTGACAACTCTGATAAAGATTGAGCATATGAACGCCGCGCCTTGGAGGCCGCCGAGAGAGAGCTATGTAGGGTCTTCAGTTGAGCTTCAAGAGTATCAAGTGAAGCTTTTCGATGATCAAAGAAATCATCGGTCTCACTGAATCGTGGACCTGCGATATTGGATAACCAACCCGATTGGTTAGAAGAGTCTGCTTTGCGATGTTTGATCTGTAAAGAAAAGATCAACTAGTGATCAGCGCAGTGAAAGTAGATTTATTCAACCGAGTCTAAGGCTCACCTCTAAGCTAAAAGAATCACTCTCTAAAAATAGTTTTAGATCCGGATCGCTGACCAACATAGGATGATTGGCAGTTTTTTGTAGGAAGATTTCCAATGCGACCCTTCGAGTAGCAATGAATCCTTCTTGAAAGCGACCTGTATTGACCATCCACAAAACCACATGAGCACATCATTAATTAATCTTTGATATCATCAAAGACCTTGGGGAACTGAGAGCCAAAAACGACCGAGAGCTCACTTCTCAAGTTTTTATCCGGTATAGGAGGAACGATCACACCAGGATTGTTGCTTGTCAGCGCATCAAACAACCATACGAAATCTCGAAACCGCCTGAGGACTGTGCTTGAGTTTTTGAGGGGACCAGATGCACTAGGATCAGTGGCCTGGTGAAGATAGACATCCGCAATCAGACCAGACAGGTTGCTTGAAATTTTATGCGAAGACGTTGATACAAATCAAATGGAATGAGTGAATTGAAGGACCTACCATGGTTTTGACAGTGTAAACTGTGTGAATGTCATTGATCATTCCCATTTTTTGAGGATCACCAACACTGCATTTATATCGAGGGCCAGACGGTTGGATAGGCAAATGTCGCAAGGGATCTTGACTGCCAAAGTAAATTTGAGCTGGAGTAGTTGGAGTTAATCCAGTTGCCGGGTCTCGGCGACTTGCACTTGAAGATGCACTCTGTTGCTGAACAAGGCCCTCGCGCACAGATGCCAAAGGTCTTTCATCTTCAGAATCGGAATCTGAAGCTTTTGAAGGCTGAGGATGAGCTCCATTGTGGGATGCACTAGCCGTATCCTCGTGTACCGTGTTCGCGGCTGACGCTCCTGAAGCTGTCTGAGTTACATTAGCTTGGGAATCTTGTTGCTGGGGCCCGCGGGACGCCTCGTCATCGAGTGACTTTACGGCGACAGATGGAAGTGAATGAGGCGGTGCAGGCACGATGATGGATAAATTAGGTGTCGTTCCTGATGAAGGCTTGGACTTGTCTGCCGTCAGGTCCTTGTTGTGGCTCTCATCCTGTGTACTTGCGATTTGGTCAGGAGTTTCTGTAACTTGTGAGCTTTCTACAGGTAAAGGCACAGAAGATGTGATATTTGAGTCAGGTCTGCCATCATTTGTCGGGTGGTTTTCGGATATTGTCCCCTGTGGCTCCTCATTGGCATGATCGTGTTTTGTTTCCACAGGTGGAGTTGCTTTACTGGTGGGTGGTGTCATATCAGGTATCTGATCTGGTGGAGAGGAAGTAGTGAGAACTGGTTCCGCCAGTTTCGGCGCGGGAAGCTGAGAAGGTGTGTTTGAAGGACTTGGAGCCGAGTCTTCTGGAGCTATGATGGCCACGATCGGCTTGGCCTCGGCGATCTTCAAGCCTAAAGGTCTATAGGGCTTGGCAGCCTCACTCTGTGTTTGATCTTTGACCGAGTTAGCGGGAGCAGAATTAGATGATCGGGAGGCTGAGACTGCTTGACTCGAGCTGGTCGTTCTGCTTGCCTTTTTCGGACTCTTCTTGAAAGCTGGGAGGGCACCTCGAGAGTCCGGCATCAGCATAGAAGCCGCTGAGGACCCTCCTCCCAGGATATCAGGCAGAGGAGGGCGTGTGCTGTTGATAGATCGTAAGGTAGAACTGTTCAGCAGTGGCTCATCTACTTCTTCGTCGGCGTAAGAGGTGAGTGTAGCTGTTACTCCAAAAGGTCTGAAGGGAGCAGGTTGACTGAGAGGAGCCGGTGGAGCGGGAGGTCTAGCAGATGTCCGTAATTTAGATGACTCGGAAGAAGGTGGTGGTTCATTAGACACACGATATGTAGTAGACGGCGCTGATGTTTCCTGCAAGACGCGAGGTGGTGGAGGTGAGATTGGTGAGGTGATAGTGGGATTTGGACTATAATTCTCAATCGACTCTTGATCTTGGAAGGCAGGATCATCTGGGATGAATGTAGTAGTGCTGGCTTGGGTAGACTCATGATCGGTAAAACCATTATCGCTGGGATCGTAAGGTGAGAATGATGTTTCAGGCATGGTAAGCTTTTGACCATCGAATCCGCCTTCATCTTCTGGCTCATCTACATTCAATTGAGCTTGTCCTAATCCAGGGATATCAAAAGTTGCGAAATGATTGGTCTGTTGGTAGGAACTTGACCCATTATCTTCGACAATATCAGCATTGGTAGCTCCAAGAAAGGTTTTTGAATCATTCTGGTTCAGAGTTGAGAAGGCGGATGTGGAAGATGAAGCGATCGGCGAGGGTGAAGAGAGAGATGTAAAATCATTCGTGGATTTGAAGTCAGCAAAAGGGTTATGAGTGTCAAATGAGTCGATCGGTTCAGCAAAACCACCATCGAAATCGGGTGTAGGATAAAATTGAGATGAATAAGATGAGATGTTGTTGTTTTGATTATCGTTGAGGAGGTCGTCTAGATTCTTAGTATCCATCCTTTTATATTATTTAAAAACAGATTGATTGATTGTTGTTGGATGTTGATGATGTTGATGATGAGGAAGTTGGTTGAGGAAGAGAAAGAAATACTATTTAGTTGGTCAACTCACAACAAACATGCCATGGGCGAGAGAGGAGGGTGGAGGATAAACCCCGAAACCCGAAGCGCAAACCCCGTATGAGTACCGAATCCGCGTAACTCTCATTCATCCTCACCAGAACACGATAAAAAACTATCCAGACAATGCCAGAGACTTGTCCAGACGACTCCCAACTGAGGATGCAGTTTAATCATCACATCAAAATATAAAGTGAGTTTCTAGACCATCACAAACAACTTAGAATCAAGATGATAAGTACTAACTATGGATTCTTGCCTTTGTCCGGACAAAAAGTCTCTTCTTGGATCCTATGCTGGAATTACTTCCATCAAAACTTTTTGAAATTCAAATCAAAGTCAACCCATTCACGAATAAGGTGTTGAATTTATTCAAAAATAAACATACAGATCATTTATCAGTGTCCTTCTATGCGTCCTCAAACACAAACTAAACAACTTTTTTTCTATGCTGACTTGAACTCAAAAAATGAAGGAATAATTTGTACTTCAGGAATTCCAAATCACATCTCACTCAACAAACATCCATGGATCAATCACAAGTATAAGTCATTTGAGCTTATAATCTAAGACATTCAAAGCTGTGTCTTCTGGACAGATCAGCAGAGCAACAGATGGATTTAGTACATTCAAATACGCGGACCCTTTTGATCTACATAATTCCACAAGCACTCAGTTTCAATTCACTGCTTCCAATCCAGATAGTGTTTTGGATTGGGTTTCTTTTCTTGGGTGTTTTTCTGGTCATTGTTCAGACATCAATGTTGGGGTATCAATTCTCACATTGAATTCACACTTTGGGATTTTGATTGTCTTCAAGGTGAGTCTGATTGCCTTCTCTACCTTCTCTTAACAAGACTGATCTTTTGTATTACAGCCATTGAAAGAATTAACAGCACATTTTCCTAAACTGTGTTACCCTAAGGGCACGTTCACTTAAGCAATTTCTGGTGAGAAATCACATTCTGCAAAATTTAAAGTGTCTATTTGGTGGTGTATGTTTCATTTTTGCATTAAAAATTTTACAGAATGTGATTTCTGGTCAGAAATTCCTTAAGGTTACGTTTGGCTCCAGTTTAACGCATTAAGGCACATCGACTTGCTGTGCATTTTGTTACCGCAAAAAGCAATAAATCGTTTTTTTTCTCTTTTTCACATTTTTTTGTTAAATGTACCTTATAATGCATGAAGTGTTCGGCGATGAAGTTGATTGAATTTGATCAACTTCATTCATCCAACTTGATCCATCACAATCCGTGTTGACCGTGATCCTGAAATCATGTCAGACAACGATGACACTTCTTCCGATGAAGACCAATGGAATTCATCCTTGTCATCGTCTTCAGCTTCATCATCGGACAGTGATGATGAATTCCTTGCACTGCTCAATGGTGCTGCTCAAGACCGAATTGAGCTAGCGAACCGTCCAAAAATCCCCTGCCGAACGTCAGCGCTTACCGGTGCTATGTATGCAAGGGAGGTTTATGAAGGCAGCCCAGTCCGCTTCCGAGAAGTGTGTAGAATGAACAAAGTGGCCTTTAAAGGCCTAATGAGACACCTTGAACCGTACCTCGAAAATTCTATCCACCTCAGTTGCACCGAACAAGTGATGATTTTCTTATTCCTTGTTGGACACGCTGGCGCCAATCGTCTTGCCGGAGAACGATTCCAACATTCAGGTGATACTATCTCAAGGTATTACAACAAAGTACTCTTGTCTCTTGAGGATCTGGAGGCTCGAATAATCAACCAACCACACCCGGGAACTCCAGTTCCAGAGGCTATCAGCGGGTCTCGAGTGACCTTTCCGTGGTTTCGAGGCTGTGTTGGAGCCATCGACGGAACACATATCCAAGCAATTGTTCCTGAGGCTGAACAGGCTCCTTACCGTAACCATAAAGGCACCTTCAGTCAAAATTTCCTCGCTGCCTGTGATTTCGAAGGAAATTTCACTTTCATCCTTGCTGGATTTGAAGGACGAGCACACGATGGCCATGTTCTAGAGGTAGCACGAAGAGATGGTCGCTTCCTTGTACCACCAGGTAAGCATATGTAATCCGTCATTTATCATTGGATAGTCTCATATAGTTTCTAACAATCAACTCTTTAGGTCGATATTACCTTGCAGATGCTGGATTCACCAACCAAGTAGGCTTTTTAGCACCTTACCGAGCCACCCGTTATCATCTAAAGCAATGGAGTATCGGTGGACGCCGCCCTCGAGACTACAAAGAGCTCTTCAACTTACGACATTCGAGTCTGCGTAACATAATTGAACGGCTCTTTGGAGTATGGAAGATTCGCTTCAATACTCTTGTACATATGCGAAGATTCCCTGTCGAAAGACAGGCTTCACTGGTTGTTGCCCTAGCAGTCCTTCACAATATAATTCGACAATGCGGCGAGGATAATTTCTTTGATGAGTATGATCAACAAGAAAGGGCAAGACAACTTACTTGGGACGAAGCTCAAGTAGTTGCTTACCGTGCACCGACAGCTGAGGAGCGGGCTAATGCTACTGAAGACCGTGATGTCTTAGCTCGGGAAATGTGGGATGATTATCAATTACATCCACATTGTATTTAGGCAAAATCATGTTCATTATGCACTGAATACCATATTTATTTCAAACTCAGATGAGGAATAAGAGGTATCATAACTTTCACAATGTACAATAACTTTAACAATGTAGAATAGCAGTTAAGAACAATAGTATTTAAAGAATAGTAGTAGTTTGAAGACAATAGCATTTAAGAAAACATAGGATTTTGTAATGAAGATTGTTTGTAATGAAAACCTTTTGTAATGATAACTTTGTAATGATTCTTTTTGATTTCAATTGATTTCATTAATTTTGATTTTTCTTCTTGAGTTCAGCAATTGCCTCTAGCAACCATTCAAAGCAAATATCTTTGTCTAACTCTAAAAAGAACTCGGCGTCCGCTTCGTTTCTTAAAATCTTGGCTGCAGCAATACGATCCGATGTCAATTGGAAGTGTTCTTGACTACCTGCTCTGAAGCGTTCCATAGCCGCAGGTTGATATCTTTGAGGTGGTGGAGGGTGAAGAGCTTCTCTCTTGATTCGAGCTGCCTCGACAAGTGCATCAGCTCGGGCATCCTTTCGATTTTCCTTTTCAACCAGTGCTTTAGCCTTGAGGGTCGAGTTTTCGGTGACTAGCTTGAGTGAGCTTGCCAGGTTCACTGGAGGCTTATAAGAGCCACTTGGCTTAGATGATGATGTGTTGGTGGGTTTGGGGATGGTAGCATCCGAAGTGAAAGGCTTATTTGAAGCCGAAGGAGCTGTCTTTGCCCTAGCTGACGAGTTCGACAGTATGGGAGGATTGGTAGGTCTTGGTGGGAGTGGTGGTGGTGGTGGTGGGAGATCGTCTGCATCAGATGAGTCACCTGTATCGAAATAAGAGAATATGTGAACAAAAAAGAAAATTTCATGGTAAACTGAAAGGAAATGTACTTACCCGCCAATTCAACTACTTTCTTTTTTCCTTTATCACCTCGATCAATAGGCTCTTCGTCGTCATTGCTGTTGTCAAGCGCCTCCTCTGAGGCGGTTAGTGAATATTTACGTTTTCGATTCTGAGTACTGGTGCCTGTTCGATTGGCACTAGAAATCAGAGTTGAACCTAGAAGAAGATCCATGGCCTTGTAGAAACTAAATCCATGATCTTTGAAGATATGTGATCCTTTGTGGCCCTGTGATACGTTGTAGTGTAAATATAAATGAATCAAAGAACATATCAAGTTGAGATGACCTACAGCAATCCAACCGGCCCAGAATTCTTCATCTCCATCGACGGTGTCTTTTTCTACACTCCATCCCAAACCTGATCCTTCTTTAAGCTCACGCATCCAACCATAATGTCGCTTGAGCTGTATAGAAGGATGAAAACACAAAATCAGCTGATGTACGATATGAATGTGAGTGATGAAACAGATCGAAGTGAAAGTTCTTACTGTACCGTAGTGATTCTTTGCTTGTGCAACGTCACGGTCAATTTCATGTGTATTGTTCAACTGTTTGACAGCTTTTCCCCAAACCGTTGGCGGAAAGTTGTTGTCGGATCTATCGTTGTCGTGACTTAAGTCTAGAAGGGAGTCGATCAAGGTGTGTGTTTGGGCTTCGGTCCACTTAGCTTGAGGCTTTGCAGCCTGTGAGCCAGACTTGGGTCGACCCATTGATCTCAAGTGGTTGATTGAATAGTTTGGAATTCAAATTTGAAAGGTGAGTGGTGGAAAGTAGTGAAAGGGTGAAGGTGTACAAAGGTTGAGATTTGAAAAAAAAAAGGACAAGTACGATTTTACCTAAGGGAGGACCGATGAACGATGCGAAGTACAAAGGTCGGGGCCAGTTTCCAGCTGGATCAAAAGGGATAATGCACTGTTTTGATGGAATAATCGACTGTAGAGTCGATTATTTTGAAGTGCATTTTTGGTACATTTTTGGCTGTTTCAGTTGATTAAAATTGTGGATTAAATCCCAGCCGAACAACATTTTTTTTAATGTACATTAAATTAAAAATTTAATCTAATTATCGGTTTAAGGTACATTAAAATGCACCAGCCGAACGTAACCTAAGTGAACGCGCCCTAAGATTCTACAAAAAAGTTAAAAAGCTGGGTAAAGTCACTTTTTGATTTGGAAGCTTATTAAATTGCATTAAGAATAGGTTATCTATGTGGCTTATGCTTCTCTCTACAATCCCTTGGGACTTCTCACATGATCCACTTGGCCAGTAATCCAGCTATTCATGGGGTGACAGCAACAGGTGAATCACATCATAAGGTGTGTTTAACCTTCTCTTTACGGTTCAACCATCCATCTGTTTCTTCCTCCAAATCAGTCGATTAATTTTCTACTTTTTTGTCTTGTGTGTTGTCACATTTTGATTGAAACATTCAGTGAGGACATTTCTTTATAATTTGATTTTCCAACATTCAACACTTTCATCTCACCTGTGCCACAGGTCATGTCTGCTCCATTACCACTGGCCAATCCTGGTTTATCTTCAACCAATCTGGCTGATTGTGAGTAACTTCTTGATATGTAGGCTTTATGAGTCATTTTTGACTGATAAACCTGCCTCTCAGGGTGGAAGCCTGGCTATTATAACTTTCTGGGCCACAACAAGCCAGCAAATGTTGGGCAAACCCTCCTATATGGGCATGAAATCTATGAAAATTGTCAATGACAAACGTCAAATCACTGTACTGGTTGTATTTAGGATCCATGTCACAAAGAAGCCAGTAGCTGGTGAAGTCAGTCAATTGATTGGAGGAAAGAAGAAAGATGAGATCAAGTTTGGCACCACCAATTTGAGCTCCTTCAACAATCAGAAGATTATTGGGCTTAAAACTTGCCTTTTTGGTAAAAGTTTGGATGACTTCAAACTTTTGTGAGCTGACATTTGCAAGCAATATTTGTCTCTAATGAACAACTTGATTGGCTCTTACAATTCTGAAATTCTCCTTCATATGGTATTCAGGCAAACCTTGGTCCACTTAAATTTTGAAATCCCTCACTCTTGATTCTGAATACACTTTAAGTTTTATCCCAGAAATTGACTGCTATCTTGATTTATCCCCTAGTTTGAAACTTTTTCTTCCTTTCTACTAATTTTACCCTTTCTACTTGTACTAGACGTTTATCCCAACAGCATCATATTTTTTCTTTCTATCCTGAATACATATCCTTTTCTGACAGAAATTGAATATCATCTTATTGTCTCTCTCAGCTTAAAACTTTTGTCTGAAGAAGCAATCTGTTGAATTGAAACTTTTAAAGTTGTCAAAATTGCTGTATAGCATGGTTTCTGAATGTCTGAGAGATCAATTATCACTGTGTATAAACATACCTTGTTTGTTTCACAGTTTGTCTTGACACTTGGCAACTAATTTAGGAGTCAAGTGGCCTACTCATCACTTGATTCTTAGCCCTGAAAAAGCATCCAACTGATTACATGCAATCTCAGCTATTGTTTCTTACCCTGAAATAAGGGAAATGATCATGTTGGATGTGGATAAACCAGAACCTTGATAATGTTTCAAAGAACTGAGACTCCAAGGCCTACTGTAAGTGAACAGATGTAAGATGGTCAGTCTTTAGGCCTGGTTTTGAATCTTTGAGATGTGAGATATAGAATAGCCTGTGTCCAAAAACTAACAGGGATCTTGCCAACACTTATTTGCACAAACTTAGTAATGACCAAAGAGGTCTATGTAGTTTTTAGGTATGCAGAAATTTTCTTTATTTAGATCTTCAACAATTTATAATCAAAGCTATTAGTTGGAAAGTAGATTGATACAATGGGGGTGATAAAGTTACTTGGAATATACAAAGTACAGATTGGAGTTCACAAGACTAGTAAGGACAGGTCAGTGACTCTTTTGACGTCAAGGGAAAATAGGTGAAGTGAAACTGAGATTGCTTTACTAATCTAGCTGGACTTTGAAACATGTGAGGATCTGAAATAATTGGGTAACGTGTCAATAGGCAAGTCCCTTCATACCTTGGAGAGAATCTCCTCTATCTCTACACGTCTAGTTCCAACTTATTGCACCCATCAGAAATACTTTTGCTTAGAGTTTTCTTCATTCAAGCTTGTCTTTGGTGAGGGGTTTTTAGACCCAAGCTACAGTATGTGTAATCAGTTCATTGCAAGACTTGTCTCAATTGTATTTTGAATGACCATCAAATATTACAATCAAATTGTCCTCTATTTGGTTTTTGACCAGGGAAGCTTATCTACCACTAATTAACACTTGATTGTGTTCCCTGTTCAGTTTAGTTGCAACACTGTTCCAAGTTACAAGTCTGATACCTTTAGGTATCCAATGGGTCCCACTTAGAAGAGCTGGTTGAGATCTTAGTTTCATAGAATCCATTCAGAAGACTACTTTATCAAATCAGTTTCTTACTAATTGGTATTGTCAGAAAGTCCTTGGATTAATTGTCAAACCTTTGTTATAGGCTTCATGGTAAACAGATGGTGAACAAGATGGAAAAGTTTGCTTGAAAGGGTTTCCAGCAATTAAACTGGAAATGAAGGGGCAAATTTCCAGGTATTCTAGAGAGAAACCTGAGTCACATAGATGACTAGTTCTTGATGAAATTCAATAAACTTTCAAATCTAAAAGTGACTTTGCCCAACTTTTTGGCTTTTTGGTAAAATCTTGGGGTAACACATTTTATAAAAATCTGCTGTCGAGTCTTTCAACAGCTGTATTATAGACTATGTGAGTCATATGCTTCATTCTAAACCATCTTTTAAAAGTTGGAGAATGGATTCCATCTTCTTTTGAACATTTGACTTGTCTTAGCTTTTGTTTCAATATGAACATCATCTTCTTGGCATTGCATTGAATTTGTTTTATTTCAACCATTTTGTAAGTTTTTCTTCTTTCTGAATCATCTTTTTATGGGGTACAATGTAAAACAAAAGATCAAATCTTGAATATTGTATGCCTACTTCCAACTACAGATTTCATACAAAAAGGATGTATAGATTTGAATGTAGCTGTATCTCATTTTGATTACATCAAATGATGCAACAGATCAATCTAAAGTTTAGTCATCTTCAGTCTGAAGATCCGCATGAGCTCATTTGCCTCTTCGAGAAAGAAGCTGAGCATTTATCACATGCTACACATTGTTTGAAAGCAGGCAGTCATCACACAATGACAATCAAGACTTTTTTACAATAGAGTTGTTGTCTGAACATTTACAAACTGGATATAACGGTATCTCTTGTGATTTTATGATATTACGCACTGATAATCATTTATCTGTTGGGTGAAATGTGGTCATGACCAAATTTGTCCGAACATGGGTGCCTTGGATGTTGAAACAGTGGGACCAATTCAATTGGAAGTTGTCTGGAATTGTTTTTGGCATTTTCTGGATAGTTTCTATGATGTTCTGTTTTGAGGTTTGTCATCCACCCTCCTCTCTTGGCCATTGTATCAACAAGGTCAACAGGTGAAAGTCAACCCATCACTGTTCCCTATCCATACATATCACAGTCAATGTCACATCTCAAGTCACAATTCATCCCAAATCAGCCACTTCAAATCCAGATTCCAGGAGAGAAACTACATATAACTGTTTTGCATGCATCACATTACACTACATACCCTTGAGCACATCAACTTTTGACTGCAAAGACCCATAAAGTGGGAGATTCTTTTCCAGATGAGGATTGAGTAGGGAATCTGTTTTGAGGGAAAGATAGGATCATGAGGCTCCTGAATGATATTGCTTTGACAATTTATTCTGACTTGATGCTGGTAATATAATGGATCATCCAATTATCTGTTACACTTGTGGACCGTTAAATCACACCAGTAGCAAGTATACCCATGATAGCCCAGTTTGAGTATCACACTTTTGCCACATAAACATTCAATACTTCTTCCTTTATCATCACATTATTGAATTGTGTTTCACCGTGTGACATAGACTGAGAGATATATGCTGATATTTTGAATGCTTTCTTACTATTTGGAGGGTATTCAACACTTTGTTGTACCTTGATGCTGTTTTCTTTATCATTTAGATTACTGATCAAACAAATAACAAATGTTCACAAATCCATTCATTTGGTGCCAACAGATTATCAATCCTGATCTCAGTCTGTGATCCTTATGGCATGTGGTTTGCTCATGTTAAGCTCATGGTTAAATAGTTCTACATCATGAGTGTTATGTCTCAAAAATAAATAGTTGGATTTTGAGCTGTGAGGCTAATATCTCTTGTGATCACAAGATCCAGGGTCACAAGCTTATGGGTAATCAGCTGTGCATCCTTCAAAGAAATAATCTGGTTAGATCTTCTATTGGTGTGTCAGAATTCATGACATACATTGAACTAGTTTAATAAATTTAATTCCAAATGATTCCAAATAAATACATGTTCCTACAAATTTTATTTCACAAATTGACTGCAAAACTAAATTTCAACAACCAGTGCATGATAAAGATGATGGTTTTAGAAAGTTGATAAAAATACAAGAATTACTGTTTCTTCCCAACAAAATGATCAGAAGAGGACAAAAATGAACCCAAAGTGATAATCAAACTACCCTCATGCTTCATAATAACTAAAATCCATTGGATAATCTGGGTCCATGGACGTGAGAGGTCTGCGACCAGATGATAGATCACTTTGTGATTCATTATTATACTCTTCAAAAACTGAATCTTCTTCATCATTGCCGTAAAACCCACTGACTTGACTATCAGTCGCGCTAGCTACTGAACTTCGCCGGGCTGCCATGATAGCAGATGTTGGTGTGCGCGGGAATTCATCATTGTAATAACTAGACCTCGCGCTAAATGGATTACTCGTCAAGTCCGAAACATACTGTCTGTTTAGGGAAGAAGTATCGACAATCCGTGTTGGTTGAGGGTTGAGAGGATTGGGCGCTCTGCGTGGTGAGGTGAATTCCGAGGGTAACGTAGGTGTTCTGGTCGGACGTGGGCCAGTTGGAAGTTGATAAGGCCTTCTTTCATTGTTTTCTTGCTGCCTATTCCGCTGGGAATTATAGCTAATCGGGATATCTGATGATTCGGTAGTCCGAGCATTTGAACTGAAAAAACAAACAATAAGCCCTAGCTGATCATAACACATGTGCATTCAACGACAACTTACGCGTATCTGTCTGGTGAGGGAGATCTTCGGACGGCGTCCCGAACATTGGGTCTATAGACCCTCCTCATGGGAGTAGTAACGTTGTCTGAACGCATATATTCCATATCCTGACGCGCTTGAATTGCAGTCTGTCGAAGGTTCTGTGAAGACGGTCTGGGACCTGGACCAAAACTTTCGACGCTAGCGCGGGCGTTTCTAGATGGGATCGCCGCTGCCATCATCAATGGTCTTTTACCAAACGACGAGGGCGAGCCTGAGGGACCCGGAGTTTGCCTAGTGATTGATGTGATAGAGGAGGGCGGTGGTAGCTTTGATTCCTCGGTAGCAACGTTGGATCTTTTCTTTTTGCGGCGAACCAGTAGGATTATCAGCGGTATTCCAATTATCAGTAATCCGGCAGCTGCTGCTATTGCAATGATCAGTGGGGTAGATATAGGCTTGGAAGTGCTGGTGGTGGGTTTTGTGGATGAAGCACGCGATGCTGACGAGTCTGATGCGAGTGTCGCCGGGTTTGAGGCGGAAGAATATGAGGTAGAGGTGTTTTGACCGCGAGTTGCTCCAGCTGTAACTCCTCCTAGGGAGGAGCCGGATGTGGAAGTTTGCGTAGAGGTACCATTTTGTGTTCTGGATGCCCCTGATGAAGATGAAGATGAGGATGAGGATGAGGATGAGGATGGAGATGTGACTGTGGATACTGTAGGTGGTGCGCTTGGAGAGACTCTTGAAGATGATGTACCCAAGGAGGTCGGCGTAGTCGTGGTAGGAGGCCGAGATGATTGCGCAGGTAAAGTGTTAGAGGAGATGGTGCTCTGCGGAGGAATTGATTGATTAATCGGAGCATCAGGTGAACCAGGAAAGAACGACAATGTCGACAGCCCCCCGCTTACTGAACGCCGGTTAGATGATACATCTCTTGTGTATTGAGTGTGAAAGCGGCGTGTTCCTTCAACTATCATGACAAAGAATCAGATGAACTGTCCTGTGACAGAAAAAAGTGTAACTACTTGAAAATGAGGTCGCTGTCCAAGGCCACCCGGCTACTCAAGAGGTTAGCTGTGAATCCCGCAACACGATCTATCTAAGATAATTCTACAAGTTTGAAAGATTACTCAAGCGTCCCAGCACTACTGAAAGACAAAGTTGTACAGGCCGGCTGTCATCGCCTTGCGATTGTGGAAATGATGAGAAGGGATGGCGTAACCCGAAAAAGATGTGCACAGAACAGGGAATTAGGGATTTCGGGGGTCTCTAGAGTGAGGATGTGTCGACAACTACCATGTTCCACCAACTACAGGAACACTATGGTGGCAAATGGATTGACCGATGCCTTCACGGTCTAGGGTCATTGGCGAGGCGCCTCCGATTTGGATTTCTCCGGCGACCATGGCCAACAAATCCAATTGAGATAGAAGCAGTGCCGCGTTCTTGTTGGTCGCAGCGGATCTAGGCTGTTGTCAGTCACTTGATCAACATAAGTATCATCATGTCCATTGTTAGCGAATTTGAGCTGATCGTTCCGTGGCATGGTGAGATTCGGCTCATCGTGATATGTAGCAGGCCCAGTGTCTCTTCGAAGCTGGTTTCCAAAGTCCGAATGAGATATGGAGCTATATGGAGCCCTTGGTCGTGGCGGAATTCTCACATGCTCCTGTGTACCCAGAGAAACCCGAGCAACTTTTCTGGCTCACCTCACCCGCTCCCCGATCAATACTCCACAAGGATCAAAGTCAAACCAATTTGTTTGTTGCCCATGGACGGCGTCAACATGGCAATCAAAGAGCCTCAGGTCTGCCTTTTTGGGGGTTCGGGTGTGAATTATTGGCATAGTCTCTCCTCAGCACACGATAAACGAGTCTGAGCAAATTGAACTCAACAAAACGATTTTCAGTCGTGCGCTCGACTACGGCGGTCTTCTGGGATCGCTTCGCGTGTCAATGATTTTGAACTGAGATCCATAACGAGGAAAAACTTCAACCTACGCAATTCCTCAAAAATAATTATTGGCTTGGATACGGAGACAGTCACAGATTTGAAACTTTCAATCCTCAATACCCCTATCAGAGGTGACTGTGGTAGATCACGAGAAATGTCCTGCATCACCTGGAAGCATAGGCCTTGTCCTCTTGACCTTTTGATCACATTAAATTATATATATATATGCATAGGTTGCCGTCAAAGAGGTCAAAGACAGGTGAAAAAGGATTCAATTGATGAGATACATAAAAAATCTTGATGACGAATGATATCAATAAACAGCGCGCAATCTTGTGCAATCTTGCTTAACTCTGGATCTACAATATTCCAATCTAAATCTAGGGCCTTGGTCAAATACAATGCTACCAAGCGACAGATCTTTTTCAAGTATGATGTCATTCCAGGCTCACCTTGATAGCAAACGGTGTCTTTGTGGCATTAGCATGTGGTTTCAGAATTTGCTTCTGATAAAAAGTGGAATATGATGTGATAAACTGAGCTATGTCATCATGTAGATAAGGACAGCTCACACTGGAAGACACCTAGTGAAGATTACCGCACAGAAAACAATAAAGAGTCTCAAAAAGTATATTGACTTATGTTGATTTTTTTGTGACAAATGAGTAAGCTCCAGCACAATATCAAAAGGGTGTTTGCGCTCATTTGGCCATAGATATGTGGCACTTGTAAAGTCTCAACTTTCACATGACTAATTTTTTTTTCATGGTTTTAAGTGTACTCACAGTCCTAAGACTATTGAACACTCTGCACTTATTGCTAATACCGTTAAAAACCCTGTGGCTGTTCAGGGAAAAGGTAACTAGTGGCTGTTTGGTGTGCGTGTACAAATGTGATACAATACAACGGGATATTGGCGATGAAGTAATGGTGTAGGAAGGATAAGATCATTCCATGGGATAGGAGGTGTTTGCGGGATGGGGCTCGTCTGTGACAGCAGCCCAAATCCATCTGTTTTGGAAGCGCCACGTTGAGTTGCAAAAAGTTGCTATGGCCTTGAAGGCTTTTGTGTTAGCCAGGATTGATTTGTTCATTCTTGTTCCGAGTTCTAGTGCTTTTTGCTCTAGTTTTGTTCGAACCTGGTCGTGTCTGTGGCAAACAAAGAGGAAGTGTTCAACCGTTTTAAGGCCTTCCTGACATTTGCATGTAGGGTCAATAGGTTGTTTGAAACGGTTTAGATAAGTGTTCAATGGTGCGTGTCCTGATCTTAGTTGGGTTAACGTAGTGATCTTGTGCTTCAGGAGCTTGGATATGCTGTCAAGGTGTTTTTTCGGATTGGGCTTTTGACCAAGCCGTTTGATGTCTTTGGGCGTGAATGTGTCCGTTTGTGTAATTCGCCATTCTTTAATGGCGGCGATGAAGGCCGCCATGTTTGGCGAGTTCGTGAATGTGCTTGGAGTTCTTGTTTAGAAAGGTTGTTGGCAATCTTGTCAACTTTCTTGTTTCCCGGTATTCCTGCATGGCCTGGGCACCACCGGATGTTGATTTTGAGGTTTGGGTAACTGTGGTGGAGGCCGTGAAGAAGATCAAACATTTTTTTTACGGTTGTCTAGTGATGAGAGAGAAGAAGAGTTCGAATTAAGATCTTTGACTACACCTTGATTGTCAAGGATTATTGTAGCTTGTTGTGTATGGTTTCGTGCCAGTTCAATTATGATTTGTAGGCCTAGTTGAACTCCACGGTATTCAGCTTGGTAAATACCGTGTGAGCGTGCTGGGCCTAGTGCTACAGATTTTGATAGTTTGGTGTTTGCACACCAAGCTGCTGCCGCCGTGTTTTTGCTAGGTATTCGTGATCCGTCTGAGAAAATAAGTATGTGACTGTTTGAGGGCTTAAGACGTATTGTGTTAGCTTTAGCAATTGTTTTGTCAATTTGTATCAGAGTGGAATAGTTGGTGGGTTTGATCAGCGTAGAGGCTGGGTCCACCAGGAGCTGGGTGATGTATTCATTGAACTGAGCGCAAAGCGGGTGTTGAAATAAAACATCAAAGGGATCCTTATTATACTTTGCCTTTGATAGCTGGGCTCGTTGGATGATTTGAAATAGTGGGTGGGACTGAGGTTTTGTGAGTGATCGCGCCATGAAGGTCAGGATCTTGCTCTGAAGTCTGGCCTTTGGTGGTGTTAGGTAAAGATCATGAAAGAGGAAGACCAATGGAGTTGACTTCAGAGCTCCTAGAGCCGCTCTTGCACACATTAGGTCAATTGTTGTCATCTGTTCAATGAAAGACGGTCAGTAGATGACCACACCATTACCCTGTAGTCGGTGGCAGCGTGGATTGTTGTCGTCATGAGCGTTTTGAGCAGCTTTGGCGGGATACCCCACCCGGTTTTTGACAGTCCTGCCAAAAATCCTGCACGTTGTGGTGATCAATTTATGGGATCAATTAAAAAATTCACAATTAGCAGTTTACCAGTTTATTAGCAGGGTTCAGCAGGAAAGAAAATTTGAAATGAGGGTTTTTAGATCAATTGAAGCTCTTGTAGGCTTATGTATTGGTCATTAGGTTAACATTACATCATTTTATTTCACATTATTCATTAAGATCATTATAGTTTACTTACAAACTCATTACAAGAAGAAAGAAAGGAAAAACATAAGAAATTCGAAATTATAGGTATATAGGTTGGAGAATGGTTTTTAGGTTAGTAAAAATAAAGTTATGGGTATTATGAGGTTAGAATATGAAAGAACAACAGAATATTATACTATGACAATTTTAATCTTGAAGGTTGATAAGGAAAAACAAAAGTTATTAGGAAAAAGGCACTTTTTCAAAGTTGGTAAACAAGAGGTACACGTGTAGTTTGGTTATGTAATACTGGTAGTAATGGAATTTAAGGTTGCCAAGAGGATTTTCCGGGATTTTTAAGGTTATAGAGGATGATGTCATATTACATGAGCAAGAAAAAGACAGTAGCAGCTGTGAAAAGTGGAGAAAATGGGTGAATTTCGTGGAAAATGGAGGTTTTCAGCTAATTACATATGTCAAATGACGTCAGAATAGGTTGGTAGATGGCTCATTCAACGCAGAAGAGTGGATTACATAATGTACAAACTTTAAGTCAATAGTAGCGGAGGTGTATGAAAGAAGTTATAAGGCAAATAAAGAATTGGTGTGAATCTCGAATTTACAGTCACAAGTCAACATGTAATGCTCAAAACCTTAACTTCACAACTCAATATCTTACTCATCACTCATCAGAAGTGGGTCATATATGTGTCAGAAATGATCAGTAACACGTGGGCTACAAGATGCACTTTAGTAATCAAAAATTGGAGCACATCTGAAAAAACTCGTAATCTCAAAAATTGGTTTTCAGCTAGTTTACAAGGAAAAAAACACCTGTATTCATCATAAGAAGTGCTGTACATCATATTATTGCGTCATTGATCAATTTTTGCTGTGAAAATTACATCATTTATTAGTAACAAAATCATTACATTGCGTCATCATAGGGTTTTTAGGGAATTTTTGGGCGGATTTGATTGGTTTTGAGGTTGTTGACCATTGTAAAAGTTGTAGTACATTGTTATATATACTTTGAGAGGGTTTTGGGACTGTTGTTCCCCTTTTTTCTTTATCATTTACGCCATTATTATTTTGTTTATCATTATAAACTTATTCTAATAGTACCTGGTCACTTAAATACGCCCTTTATTACAGCTATAAAGAGAAATTTACTTTAATTTTATAGTCATAAAGACTTATTGGGAATAATATCAATCAGATATTGCTTATTTCTTTAGTTATCAATTGGGAATAACACTATAGCAGTGTTGATAGTAATACAAAGAGTGCTTTTGAAGTTAAAATACGTGTGAAGATATATTTCTCTGGTGCCTTATCTGTACTCAATACAACAGAGTCTTTCCTGATTGTGTTGTTTTAGAAGAGCAGTCCTTAGACAACTTCTACTAGTCCTTATATTAGTAGATTATCCTCTTCCAGCTCTGTATAA